TTTTTTTTTTTGTAATTTTTTACGATTGTTACATGAATCATCTTCATATAATTCGCTACCCAATACATTTTAATTACACGAAGTAGACTACAAGATTGAAGAAACAAAGGAACAATGCCTAAGAGGATTTGGTTTCAGGAGAGTTGCCATAGATATAGCATCCAAACCCCCAAACTGTCAAAACCAGTGAAAGGATCTTGAAACCACTCATGGGGTCATGAAAAACCACAACGGCTGCCACGCTAGTGAGAGGAACTCGCACTGCATTAAGAACTCCAGCCATTACAGTTGATGTAAGAAAAAGAACAGCAGTTCCACCAAGAACCCCTAATTGAAATGTAATGGCACCCCATAAAAGCACCATGATATATGAGACCTCTCCATTCTTAAAAGTTCTTGCCGCTTTTCTCATCGCTTTGAAATCATTGTTCAAAACCACCCCAATAGTAGTAAACACAAACCCAAAGAACGAGACCATGACCTGCTGCTCGAGCACCACATGGAAGGACCTTCTCCCCATTAACTTAACAAAAACCAGCTCTGATAGAGCAAAGATGAGGCCATGAAGGGCTGAACCCAATATGTCCCATAAGAAGCCTAAGGCATATTGGCCTTTACTGACACCCGGAGGCCTATCCGAGCTTGAGTCCAGTGCTATGATAACTGCTCCAGCCATGATTATCACTATTGAATTGATAGTTGAGAGGTTCAGCTTGTTCTTCACCAATAAGTAACCGAAAATTGCAGAGAAAGCAAGAGAAGTTGAAGAAAGGAGAGAGGCTGTAGAGGCTGGGAGGTAAGAGAAGGCCCAAGCAAACATGAGGTTATCGGCAGCACTGAGAAATCCGAGTCCAATGTAAGAGAGAGAAAGCTTTAGAGAGAGAGGGGTTGGCGAAATATTGGGCCTCAGGTAGAGAGGGAGGAGGAAGAGAGAGGTTAGAGGCCACCCTGCCACTGCGACCCAAGAGAGTATCCACCGGCTGGTGCCTCCATTGGAGTAGTAGAGGCGAGAGAGGAGGGTCGAAGCAGGGAAGGCAACAAGCATGGCAAGGCTACTTAAGAGTAGCAGTATCCAATGGTGTATTGGTTTCTTGTTATATGCATTCCAAATAGAGGCTTGGAGTTTGTGAATTCTTCCATGAATATTTGAGAGAGAACTTGGTGCCTGTTGGTGTTGTGTAGTCCCTGAAGAAAGTACTGGAAATTATGAAAAGGAAAAACTTAGAAGAAATGAATTTCAAATACTTGGAACTCAAAAAGCATGATGAATATCAATCTCACAACGTCCGATGGAAAGAACATAGGTGATCATGAAACTATTCGTGTGGTCCAATTATGGAAAATGTTTGTATAAGGTTGCGACCTTAAAATGCAGAATTAGAGATACAACTCAAAGATCCATTGGAAAAGGTGGTTTAATGTTGAAAAACCCTATCATCTCGACATCGAGAGGTATGAATATGAAAGAAAAAAGAATTTTGAATCCCAAAAACAATGCATCTTGCAACACATTATCTAGATCGTCCATTTTCAAGATTTTTATTTGTTTATAGATCTACTTGATTTTAACCATTATTTAAATTTAAAATTTTATAATTAGATATAAAAATAGTTTTTCAGATTATCCTAAGAATTTTTTACACTAAAGTTATTATAAAATTTGTAGGTGCACCTTGATTGGGTTGTCTAAAGTTGCAATGTTATAGAACACAATATGCAAGTTTTTCTCTCAGAGTTTGGAAAAGGTCATGGATCATATTTTACAATCTCTATAGAATTGGTTATCTGACACCTGAGGGTTGGGGAGTTCTTTAAACTGACATTTTTGTCAATCTGAAAAATCTTGTAAATTCCTTTTTTATCACGACCTGTCTCACTAGTATCTGGAAACCACCTCCTAAAAACTACCTCAAGGTTAATTTTGATGGCAGATCTCTTGATAAGCCGGGTCTGGCAAGTATTGGTGGGCTTCTACATGATAGCTCAGGATTGGTCCTTTGCTCTTTCTCTAGTCCATGTGGCTTTACGACTATCAATCAAGCTGAAATGTGCGCTTTACTACAAGGACTACAAATTACACTTGATAAGGGGTTGCCATGGAGATATCTTCATTGCGGGGGACTTCTTGAATGTTCTTAAATGGTGTAGGAGAGAGCAAAGAGGCATTTGATCCTTATTTTACCCCTTAGATTAAAATTCAGGATCTTTGTGCTCTTCCTAACATGGGGATTTTTTTTGGTCACACCTTTAGAGAACGACCTGGCTAAAAGTGGTGTTTATCTTCACTCTCTGCAGCTCTCTGACGCTCTAATGTAATTCTTTTGTAACCATGTTTTTTAAGTATCTTTTTAATAATAAAAACACATAACATTTGTCAAAAAAAAAAAAAAGACAAAAAAAATATTACAACGTCATAGAAACCGCACCCTTTAATTACTAACGCATGTGCAAAGAGATTTTTTTTTCTTGAAGGACCTTAAATTCGGAAATGGAAAACTCAAGTAAGAGAGAGAGATATGATGACGTTTTCTTGTAAAAGAAACACGAGGTGATATTTTCATGGATATCGGGGAGAGAGAAAGAGATGATGAGCCGTCATAGGAAACAGATTTGGAAAATCTGAAACTAATATAACCATTTGTACAAGGTATAGTACAACTACAACATCCACATCATGTGGACATTGAAAGGGTGCACTAAGTATTCTTCAATAATTCAAATTGTAAGGAAAATAAGGATGTTCATAATTTAATAGAAAAAGTTTACATAAGGTTGCAACTTGTAATTTTAAATGTAGAATTACATATGCATCTAAAAAATCTATCGGAAAATGTTGTTTTAATGTTGAAAAATCCTCTAATTGATCATCTCAACAACGAGATATAGGAATATAAAAAAAAAAGGATTTTGAGTCCAAAAAATAATGCATGTTGTGACACATTATTTAGACCTTACATTTTCAAGATTTTCATATGTTTATAAATCTACTTGATTTTAACTATTTTTGGAGTTTAAAATTTTATAATTAGATATGAAAGTCGATTTTGAGATAACCCTATGAAATTTTTACACCAAAATTACATGTTATGATAAAATTTGGAGGTGCGTCTTAATTGGATTGTTTAAGGTTGCAATCTTATAGAACCCACACCCTAGTTTAATATAGTATCTAATTTTATTTTATTTTTTTAATAGTCTTAGTAGGACTAGAAAGACAGTTAATGTAAAACTCTGCCAAAACTATCCATGGATCATGCATCTACGTTATCTACTTATGCTAGGATGTTCCTCGTAAGCGACGCGCTGTAGCAGAATCTGGGTACAATAAAAAATGAGCAAGGGTTAGCTAGGGCATTCCCTTGAAGCGACCTCTTGCAACGCCACCCAATTCACGATAAAAAATAAGCAAAGGATCCCACGATAATCCAGACAAACTTGGGTAAAGAAGCTAGTCCAAGATCATAGGATTTATCTAATCACATGAAATGTAAGAACACCTAGGTAAGAGTATGAAGTTAGTGGACAGAATGGTATGAATGAGCTACTTGCATGGTCAAACCGGTAAACAGGTGGTTTAAAAAAAAAAACACATGGTCAAACTTTGGTTAAATTAGCTCCAAATAGTCATTTGAGGGTCCATAACTTTAATCTAAGGTCCCTCAAAAGTTTCCTCCAAAAATTAGGTCAATTCGATATAGGATGACCAAGATATAAGCCTACAAAGTTGAAGACCATTGAAGGAGCATAGTGGGGTCCAAATCGACCCCAAATTTACAAAGAAACCATGAGAAAACCTTGGCCAAATGACATGAAATTTTTATAGAATAGAGCACACTATTCCAAATAGCTTAAGTACCAAATTTGAGTTAATCCGACTGGGTGTGGCAATGGACCCCGACCCAGGAACCCACTGGGTATACCCAAATAGGTCCGGGTATGGGTCGAACATTTGGACCTGGCCGGTTGGGTCCAGGTCCAAAACCTAGACCCGAACATTATTTGGGTCTGGGTCTAGGTTCGATCCCATACCCGTAAACTGTTGGAGATAGAATACATCAAGCCCTAATCGTATGGGTATATTAAGGATCATATACAATAAACATTCATAATCATATGTAACTATTAACCGACAAACTTTGGTCAAATCAGCTCCAAATGGTCATTTCCGGGTTCATAACTTTAATCTATGGTCAAATTAGCTCCAAATGGTCATTTCCGGGTTCATAACTTTAATCTAAGGTCCCTCAAAAGTTTCCTCCAAAAATTAGGTCAATTCGACATACGATGACCAAGATATAAGCCTACAAAGTTGAAAACCATTGAGGGAGTATAGTGGGGTCCAAATCGACCCCAAATTTACAAAGAAACCATGAGAAATCCCTAGCCAAATGACATGAACTTTTATAGAACAGAATGCACTATTCCAAATAGCTTAAGCACCAAATTTGAGTTGATCCGACAAGGGGTGACAATGGACCCCGACCTGACCCAGGACCCACCGAGTATACCCGAACAAGTTCGGGTATGGGTCGAACATTTAGACCTGGTGGGTCAGGTCTGGATTCAAAACCTGGACCCGAACATTATTTGGGTCTAGGTCTAGGTTTGATCCCATACGCGTAAATTGTTGGATATAAAATACTTCAAGCCCTATTCGTTTGGATATATTAAAGATCATATACGTTAAACATTCATAATCATCTTTAGCTATTAACTGACAAATAAGATGGCTTGAAATCTAATGGCGGCTTGTGACCTTGTTGCCAATAATTTGGGTATATGATGGTAAAGAAAAGGCAAAAAAAAAAAAAGAGCTCATAGTGAGAGTGGCAATGGATTCGATCAGACCTAGGACTCAACGGGTACGAGTATGGGTCCAACTTTTAGACCTGACGGGTTTGGTCCGGGTCCAAAACCTGGACCCGAATACATTTGGGTTTGGGTCCGGGTTCAGCCGGACCCGACCCATTGCCACCCCTAGATCTGACTTCAGGAAGAGCCATTTTAGAAGAAGGTTTGGGCGGACCATTGAGGGACCACCAGTTTTTAGAAGAAAATACTACACGGGAGGCATGCACTAGCAGTGAGGAACAATTGCCAACATCATGATGAACGTCTTGGCCTCAAAGATTTAATTATATTTCAACGAAATGAGCTCAGTTTTTGATATGTTGTTCCCTTTCATAAGAGCTTTCAGTCCATATAAATATCAACAAGGTATCTAACACGGATCATAGGAAGATCGAAAGAAAATGCATGGGCTTAAGAGTGGTTTCATGTGCATCAGTTACTATGACCTTGATCAACCTCATATCTCATGATTCGTGCATATTTTGAGTTTAAATTTTGCATATATCATCTTCACTCAACCTGTAAACATCTATATAATTTGTTGGAAGGTTTAAAACCAAATTGGGAGTTGGAGCGAGTTGCCCTATGGAGACTCATGATTAGGGAAAAAAAAAAGAAGGGAAAATTGCATAGATATTCGTTATATTTTGCGTTATTACGAATGTATCGAATAGTTTCTGTTATTACATGTCTGTCCGTTTTTTACCTTTCGTAACGTGAATTTAAAAAAAAGATGGCTTTATCCTTTTTCGGGTGTTGAACAACCGAGTTGAAGGGTTTTTCAGAACTCAATGTATTTTCGATTGTTGAACAATATCAGTCACATTTCAGAAAGCTTGCATTGCCAACATCCGAAAATATGACTACGAAATTCCAAAAACCATAAAGAGGGTAAAGTCGTATTTTTAAAAAAATTATGTTAAAAGTTGTAAAAAACAGACAGACATATAATAATAGAAACTATTTGGTACATCTGGAATATCACAAAGTATAACGGATATGTATGTAATTTTCCCAAAAAAAAAATGCCAAAAGAAATTCTACTCTCGTGGGAGTAGAATGTTCATTTAAATCCCACTTTGAATTGACTTCACGACCCCAAAATTTAATCTGTTCAACCATAAATTAATCTCAACAAAAGAGACTCTAATTCTACCCTCTATTCACTAAAAAAAAAGATTCTCGAGAATGTATAGATATTATTTCATTTTTAGATAGTGAGATCTAAGTGTTAGAAAACTAAAATATTAATTTTTTTTAAGAATAATCATATGCTAACTATTAAATGGTTCGCAAAATATTTGAACGGAAAAAAAACTCCTAAATACTTATTATGACTGAGGGAGTAGAACTACACTATGCTCTCTCGGGACCATAGTACACGTGCTCAAGAAAAATTACACATTCCCTTCATTTTTCATTTCGGGTAAACTTTCTATGCTTTCCTACCACATAAAACTTATATACTTCTCCTTATCCAACCGTCCATTCTGAATGGAGGGCTAAGATTGTCTCAATCACAATGTCACGTCTCCACACTATTTTATATTTAATTTTCTTCTATAAACTATTTTGACAGTAAATTTTGTACGTCCAATCCTCTTTTAGACTCGCACTAGCAAAAAATATAAAAAAAATATTTTCAATCAAATAAGATGACTAAAATACCCCTAAAAGTTTCACAGGATACATTATATTTTATCAAATAATTATTTAAAATATTTTTTATAGGTGCATCCCAATGAAAAGATGGCACGTACAAATTTCATATTCATACAATTTGCATAAAAAAAACTAAAGATACAATAATTTGAGATGTCGAATTTACGATCAAACGATGAATGACTCTTTTGATCAAAATTGAACGGCTGGATGGCAAAGAAAGCGTAAATCTTTTATGGTGCAGGTAAAGTATAGAAACCTTTCATTTTCTTAACTAATGGGCTAATATGTCTTTAAAGAAAAAAAACATGGCACTATTGATAAGCTATAACGAACCACTAGGATCTCTGAACCTACCCGTTACTGGAAATGACAAAAATACCCTTCAGCCCTGCCATTTGCATGATCTCCGATGTTTCCTGTCACTGATATAAAATCCTATATTTCAATGGAAAATTACGTAATTTCCCTAATAAAAAAGAAACGAAGCGGAATAAAAATCCCAATTTCAAATTTCTTTAAAGCTCTGTTTTTTAACAATAATTCCATCAAAGCAGCATTCAAAACATGGGAATTAAAAGAATTTTTTTTTTAAAAAAAGAATTATAACATAAAACACCCAATACTGAGAAAGAGTTATCGCTGATTTCAGGGACTATAATGAACTGAAATTACATAGAATTCACACAAGACATGTAAAATACTTTTCTAGGTTTTTTTTTGCTTCATAATCAATAGCTGGAAATTTTCAAGAAACTGATGAAGTCGCCACAAAGCACAGAAGCAAAAAATTAAAATAAAACACCAAGAAAAAAATTTGATAAGTTTGAGAAAGTAATTACCTGAACTTTGGTGTGCATCGTTGTCCATGAGAGACGATGCCTACCTCTCTGCACACCAATGGAAACCAAACGCATTATGGTACTTAGAACCCCCGATTAGTTCTGACAAAAAATTATGTACCCTTGATGTCTCCATTTATATCGGAAATGCCACTGCTTTAATCATTACTTAGTTTGGGTAATGTAAGCTTTGAAATTTTGACATGTACGACATATAGTATAGAAACAAGCCTAGTTTTTTCTTTTTGTGGTACACCGTCAATTGCCATGATGGACGGTGCCAGTGGTCACCAATGGACGGTGGACACATCATATACAAATTAAAAATTACTCGCCATCATCATCATCATCATCACAATAGCTACAAATAGTATCAAAAAATATGGTTTCATTATTGAAAATATTTGTGGTAGCCTTAAAATTTAAAGTTTCAAATATATTCTAAATCGAACGAATCTATAAAAACTTGAAAATATATGTGGTAGCTTTAAAATTTAAAGTTTCAAATATATTCTAAATCGAACAAATCTATAACAACTTGAAAATCTTAATAATTGGCGGTTCAAAAATTCGTTATAAAAAACACCATTTTCAAAACGTGAAATCTTTTTTTTTTTTTTTCACGTCCATGCATATTGAGTTGGGCACTAATTTTTTTTCTCACTTACATGCATATTTAGTTGGGCACTATTTTTTTTTTCTCACGTGCATGCATATTGAGTTGGGCACTATTTTTTTTTCGCACGTGCATGCATATTTAAGCATTAAAACAACTTCTAGTAAACTTTTTGAGTTGGGCACTAATTTAATTGTTTAGAGTCTTAGCTCTATATAAACTTTTCCATTACAAAAAGATATTTGTGATATGGTTTGACTTGAACCATTGGGCATAGGTCTAAATTTAGTTAGGTTATTTAAAAGGGTGTGGTTTATACAAGGTGGTAACTTTACATTGTTTATTTTATTTGGATAAATTTATTAAAAATTGTCTGAAGGTGACATATCTTTTTTATATAATATCAAATCTATATTGTTCAAATAAAATAGATAGTGTGGACGAATGTTATCAAATTCTTTTCGCTTCAACTGAAGAGGCCGAAGCCTTTGGATTTTAAGCATAAACCGAAGTGAAAAGAAGCGTGGTGTTGCCGTTTCAGTCAGATTCAAGTCTCTTTGGGTCTGCTTCGGCCGAAACTTCGGGCTGCTTCAGCTAGAAAATAAATACCTATATAAAAGTATTTTTTTTATTTTTTTCCATTATTTTTATATATATTATATATAAATATGTAATTTATTTATATTAAATTTAAAAAAATCCAAAGTATTCCCCCGAATTGGCCGAAACGTCGAATTACTTCATTTTTCTCATTAAACCGTTATTTTTCTCATTAAACCGAAAAAAACTCTGAAGTGAATATGACAACATTGGTATAGACTACTGCAACATTACTTCAAACAAGTAACTTTGAAACTTTATATAAACCCTTTCCTATTTAACAAAAAGAACTTTGGCATAGAAAGGAAGATTATATTATTTTTTTAAAATTAAATGACTTGCACAAATTAAAATGGGAAGTGAAAAAGTTTTCGATGACAACTAACCCTAAAAGCGAATCTTCCTTTTCCTTTTTGGTTAAAGAATTTGAAATGAAAAAAAGAAAGGCCAACATTTAGTCAGCAAGAAAAAGTGATTTGGTCGGCAGAAACTTAGAAACATAATGGTTACTGATTTTATATTATATAAACGAAGATTCTAAGACACAACAAGAATAAGAAAGACGCATAAATGAAAGATGAGAAGAGCAGGAGTAACGAATGAAAATGAAAACCCATCAAAATCTAAAGAATTGGAAAAAATAAATAAAAACTAGATAAACGAAAGGGATTAGATTTTTTTATTTTTATTTTTGTTGGGTAATTTAGTGGGAAAGACAAGCCCTGCTTTTTTTTGAAGGTGTCCAAGGGTGGTGTCAACAGGATTGCAAACCATAACGTGTTAAATAGATATGAGGGTGCCTCCGCCACAACCCCCCTTTCGTATGAAAGGGATTGGACATGAACGACACGCAAGAAGGTATAGAAATTTACAAAGCGCACCGAGTTAAATTATGGAATGATATTTTGGTCTATATTTTTAAAAAATTTATAGCAAGTTTTTTTTTTTTATGTTTTTATGTTTTATTATCTTTTTTTCATTTTTTTCGTGGTTCGCTGTTGCAAACCGCTTTATTTTGTTCTATTTTTTGGCGTTTGTGGGGCAATCTAATTGATAAGATATTGGACTACCCCTTTTTTTTAGTCCGATAATAGGGACATCAAATTGCCCTACAATCTAATCTATTCTTTTGTATGTGTTGGTCCGATGTTCTAGTTTTTTTTTTTTTTTTTAAGTGTAGTGGTCCAATGATTGAAACATCATACTGTTTTTAATTTATAGAAAAGTAAATCATACTATTTTTAATTATAGAAAAAAAGAAAAGTTGACATCACATCACCCTAAACTTGAAAAAATTTCCAAGCATGGAAGTGGCCTGAAATTTTTGAAGTATTAACCAAACAATGATTGCATAAGTTTAACCGGGTAGGTACGCATATTTATCAAGGACGTAAAACCAACATTGTCATATTCGCTTCGGAGTCTTTTTCAGTTTTGGTGAAAAAAATGAAGCAATTCGGTGCTTCGGCCGATTCGGGAAAAGACTTCCGACTTTTGTCTTTTAATATTTATATAAAATATATATAAATGATTGAATTTTTTTAAAAAAGAGTAATAAAATTTAAATTTTTTAAAAAATACTTTTATAATAGGCATTTCTTTTTTAATCGAAGCAGCTCCGAATCTGACTAAAGCACCAGCACTACCACCCTTCTCTTCGCTTAGGTTTATGCTTAAAATCCGAAAGCTTCGGTCGACGCGAAACAAATTGGATAACATTCCATAAATCACATATAACATTGACCTTATGTAAATGCTAAAAAAAAAAAACAAAAAAAAAAACTTTGTGAAGGTCCACAAGTTAGGGTTGATGGAGAACGGGGGTAAAAGTTCGATGGTGGAGGACAGAAAGAAACATACAATTCACGTTACATGACTCTTTGTTGAGAGAGAGAGTGTGTGTGATTAAAAAAGTTAGGAGTGACCCGAACGTGTTCTTTCAAGTAGAAACTTTATGAACAAACTAAAAGAGTATAGACATCTAGGCCTGCCAATGGGCCAATGGGCCTGCAGCCTGGGAAAACATTGACACTCTAAGATTGAATAGATATTACACAATTTTAAAGCAATTGGATTTAAGTGTTTAGATACTCAAATTTTTTTTTTTTTTTTTTGTTGAAAAGACTTATCTAGCCGTTCTGAATTGCGCCCCAAAATTTTAGTTAGAGAAAATGGTTATTTACTCGAGAGAGTAAATATACAGTTTGCTTTAAGGGAGCACACCTGCATGGGCGTATCAGTTATTTTGTAAATTCAGCTCAACTTGAAAAAGAATAGAATAAGTTTGTAGGTAGCGCTTTACCATTCAACGACCAAAACCTAACCTTCTGTGCTTTTCCAACCACATGCCCCATTATATATTCAGTGTAGGTATTCTTTTGTGATAGAGAAATATTTTTTTGTTTCTTGTGTAATAGAGAAATATGTTTTTGCGTTTTCTTTGGTAATTTTGAGTTGATTTCTTAGGAAAATGTTTTGGTAGGACTGCGGCTCTATCAAAACAAACAAAGCCTCACCTCATAACTCATTGAAAATTACAATTTAAGCATTAGAAAATCCTTATATCAATCATCTTGGCCTGAACATTATGATTGTGGAAAAAAATATAGGATTTCAAGCTCTAAAAATAGTGTATATTTTAACAAATTATCTAGATTGTCCATTTCGTCTTAAAAATAAGTGTTCGTAGATCCGCAATATCTGTACCATTTTTTCTATTTTCAAATATCATTGTTGGTGTTGGAAATTGATTTTAGAGCCATCATGGAGATTTTCGTTGCCGAAAGTGCTTTCTGGACAAGGACTTGAGGTGAGGGTTTATTTTGTTTTCATAAAGCCTAGGCCTTATAGAAACCTCATCATTTTGTTTATTAGATAATTTTGGGTTGATTTGTTGCACAAATTTCTGATTGATGGAACAAAAGGAAAAAAAAGATTATTACCCCAGCGAATATCTTAAAATTATTTTTTTATTTTCTTTGCTTAGTGTCAAGGAAGGGTAAATACCATTAAACCATATCTTATAGTCTAAAATTTTAATAGTAGGGAAATTTCCTAAATGACCATTCACCTTGTTTCCTTCATATGCCAATTTAATTATCATCTCATGTTTTAGAGTTCATTATCATCATCATCATTAGAGCTTTTTTCCAATTATTTGGGGCCAACTACGCTTCAACACATCCTAACCCCTGGTAAAAGAGATGGGTTTGTGTTGGATAGGCAGCCAACATAAAACTTTGCCAAAATATTTCATGAATCTTGAATCTACGTCATCTGCTTTAGAATTATACGAAGCTAAATTATAAAGATCAAGGTAATTAAACTACATATATATATTCCTTATCTTTAGCAAGAGGTCAGGTAAACCGACTGAAGCTTGAAACTTCTTCAGTTTGAGGCGAGAGCAGTGATCCCTATTCACCATGATCAAGAGCTTTCATTCCTCCTTACAGGAGAAGCTTCTACACATTCCTCTTCTACCAATGTGAATGGGGGGCGTCACCCCTTATTTGTGCATCCAATTCAAGCCTAGCCTTAACGCTGTCAGTTTAGTGAGTGAGGCATATCACCCTAGTGAGAATGAGAGAAAATAAGAGATCCGGCTATAAATCCTATAGCCCATGGTCCTTATCAGTGAAAATACTCCATAAATCTATAGTCCCTTCTTCACCCTCTTTAACCACAAGGAGTCCATCATATCCAAGCTTTCTTCCAGCATTAATGGAGCGTCATAGAGCCTTAATGCTACTGAAATCTGAATCCTAATTCCATTTTACATCAAGTTATTCTAGTCTTCTTGACCTTTAAGACTTAAGAACTTTGTAGATTATAACATGCTATGATCATATAATGGCACATGGTCTACCCTTTTTTCCTACACCACACGCCATCCATTTGTGGTTATTAAGACCCCATTACCTTGCTATAATTTGTTTTATAAAATCAGCCAGGTAAGTTTTGTTTTCATGAGCATCATGGTCAAATTCCATGTCATATGATAGTCCATAACATGCCACATAGCCTAGTTTCCATTTCTATGATCTACGCCATCTATTTGTGAGATTTTGACATCCACAGCAATATAATGTGAATTACATAATATTCGTGGTCAATTATTATTCCGTATACTCATGATCTCATTCCTTACTTGCCTACTAGATCACGGTCATCTTTTATATGCATATTGATCTATTCGTCCAAAGTAACCTATTACTTTGTGAGATTGCTCTCTTATTTGGCTTTCCATACTTTGAAAAGTGTGGAGTCCGAGATCCCTGTGTTTTTGAAGGCGGAGATCAAATTTTGGGTGTATTAGTCTTGAGAGGTTGACATTGAGTATAAATCATCATCATCAAAGCCTTTTATCAATTAATTAGGGTCGACTACACAAATCTTGGTCCACATTCTATTTTGTCAAAGGTTGTATCCTTAGTGAGGCCATAAATCCTCATATATTTTATCACTATTTATAACTGTGTCCTTTTGGGACCATCCCTTACCCTTTTTGAGTTTTTCATTTGAACTAACTCGCATCTCTTAACATGTGGTGTTCGGGGTATGCACAGCATATGATCAACCCACCTAAATCTACTTTATTTCATCTTCTTGATTATTAGAGTTATACCTAAGTTCTCTCGAATGTGTTCATTTTGAATTCTATCATTTCTTGTCCTACCACTTATCCATCTCAACATCCTCATCAGCTACACCTATCCTATTGGTATGTTATTTCTCGACAGCCCACATTCCGCCTCATAAAGCAAAACTGGTCTCACAATTGTCCTGTAGAAATTTTTATTTAGCTTAATTGGTATGCAATGGTCATAAAAATCTGGTTGCACATCTTCACTTCACGCACCCAGCTTTAATTTTATATGTGATGTCTTTCTCAATTTCTCCATTTTTCTAAAATTAATTCTCCAAAAATTATGTTAGAGTTATTCCATATCGGTTTTGTGAAGCGAAGGAAAGCAAGTGTGTTGAATCCTTGATGTATTTGAAAGTGTATGCCATGTAATGAAATTGAATAATGCATAATTTCATAGTGCACACACTTTCTTGCATGCAATGCTTTCTTAACTAGTTTAGTTGAATGGAAATTGTGTGTGGGCAATGAGATCTTTTCCTCTTTTATTTTGAGTTGTAAAAGTGCCTTTGAAGTGGTGACAATAGTTCCACATTGCTATACTTTTGATATTATATGTGCATTTTTTTTTATGCATACTAGCCCCTCTTAATACATTTTTTAAAAAGTATACTCCAAGGGCCTAGTTCATATATCTAACACTAGTAGACTTGGATTCATTGAAATCGGATATCCAATGGCCATCGCTATATCTTCTAAGTTAGATGGTTTGCCCAAATAACGTATTCAATATTCCATGGTCCTTCTAAAATATCATAAGATCCTATTTGCCGCATTCCAAATGTTCTTGACCTAAACCTACTTTTACCCATCCATAAGCAAATATATGTTGGTCAAGAGTAAACATTGTATACATCATACGTTTATAATTCTTGGTCTAAGAAGGGTGAAGACTTTTCCTTAACTCATTTCAAGTCTGGGTAACGGCAGTAGAGTGTATTAGGTAGGCAGCCAACGTAAAATTTTGTCAAAACTTATCATGAATCTAGAACATAAGAGACCCAAAATAGAATAACAAACTAAGATTGGTGTAACCAATTCTAATTAGTTAAAAAAAAGCTTCGATGAAGGTGTTTATTATTCTGACATTACCTAATAAGACATTGAACTATTAATGTTCCTTCTTAATTGAATATGAGGATCATTGGAGGTGGGTGTTGGATTACACTTAAAAGAGGACAAACACCTTGAGGACTTTCTTTATACAGTATGATTTGGTTAAGGCATAACCACCCGATTTTTTTGAACAGCTTGATATGAAGAATCATGCGCCGGCTTCTCTTAGTCCTTATTATATTTACAGTACCATATGTTTTCAGCATCTTCAATGTATGTAGAATTACTACCAAAGTATAGTAATATCATCAACATCTAGGTATATAAGCATGACAACACCATCGACCACTTTGGCATAAAGTACAAATGTCAGATCGATCACCAGAAAATCCATGAGTAAAATGACTATATCAAATTTTTTATGTCATTATTTAGGTGCTTCAATCATTACAAAGACTTCACAAGTTTCTAAGCCTTGTATTATGTCCTCTTCAGACTAGTCATTCAAGTTGTTCTACATATATTTCTTCATTCAGTTGACCTTTTAGAAATGTTATCTTAATATCCTCCTTGTAAATCTCAAGATATTATGCAGAGACCGAGGCAATGAATACCCAAATGTTAATCATTCTATCCACTAATGCATAGGCATTGTAAGAAAATTTTCCTATATTTCCAAAATTCCTATGATTTGATATTAGACTTTGAATATGGTGATCCATCTTGTATCTTTGGCCTTAGAATGATCCATCTTCCATTCTTTTTAGATCTTTCTTTCAATTCTCTAAATATAATCAAACCTCCCCCACCATTCGAGTTCCAAATGAATGGAGCGAATTTAGAAACAGATTTACAGTAACTTGGGATGTGTTTCTAGTTGTGAAACCTTTGAAAGCTAGGGTAGATGCATGAGCCATCAGAATAACCACAAACTTCTTTTTTTTTAAAAAAAAAAAAGAGGGGAAAAAGGAACCTCACGCTCCTTGTATCTAAGGTTTAGAATTTACTTGGTTTGGATTCGAAACCTAAATTTTTAAACTTATCCGGATCCGGGGATAGTCGGAGATCTAAATAATAATTAAGATCGGATCTGGATACAGGTGGATCCGATCCAAATCCGACACACGGTTTCTATGAAGCCCGCCCGCATATTGTAGAAATGCGGGCTTGGCAATAAATATGTTTTTTAAATATAATTCGACCCTAATTTTTAGAGAGTATATAATCTTTAACATGGAGATCATGAATATAAAAAAAAATAACAATTTGAAAACTAAAAATAATAATCATATTAAAAAAACAATTGGACCGTTAGTTACACTTGTTTTTAGATGGACTACCTATTTGCATCCATCTGGACGCTTTATACCTTTGGACCGCATATTGTCGAAATGTAGTCCAGCCAGCATGAAGCAATTTTCCTTATAGATATGTTATATAGTTTTCTTTGTTATGTATTATGTTATAGATATAAATAATATATTAAATATATTTTTTAGATTCGATCCTGTCCGGATTCAGATTTAGATCTCGTATATACTTTTCAGATCTGGATCTAAAACCGAATATTGTGGATCCGATTGAATCCGGGTCCGACCCAATCATTTAATGAAAAGATTGGTGCTCTTTCTGTCAAAGAGTTATCGCAGAACAGCAGTGTTCAAACGCGGTATGCCTTGCTCATGTTGAGGTCTCCATGTTTCCCGGCAAATCTGTTTTGAATCTCTCTCTCTCTCTCTCTCTCTCTCTCTTAACGATTGTATTCTCTCTCTCTGGAAAAGACTCACTCTCCCTTAATCCATGGCCGACCTCTCCGAAAATGGCTTCCTCATGCCCAAGCAAAAACCACAAATTTCTCCACCCCAAAGTCCACAAAGACTGAAAATAACACTAAATTTAGAAAAAATGTTAGGAAAATCTTCCATTCTCACTCATTTCTCTTGCAACATGAATCATCCTGGTCAATTGTCTAGATTCTTCCCCTTCAATTCTTATGTGATCGTTCCCCTTAACTTCCAATGGGGTCCTCCCTCCCTTCAATTCCTATGTGATTCTACCCTCAATTCTGATCTGGTTATGTGATTCTTCTTCAATTCTAATGTAATTCTCCCCCCTTAATTCTAATGTGATGGGGTGTGCTTCTTCGAAGCAATTTCTTTATGAATTTGATGATTATACTGGTGAATTTAGAGAAATAGAACATGGGTCTCCTCTGAGGCAATATAATGGAGAATTGGAAGGACCCATAATCGGATCCAATGTAAATGATGCTGGGAATGATGAAATAGGGAGAATAAATCATGGGGTACCAAGAAATTTGCCCAATAATACCGGGGCAGAGCAGATTGCAGCTGGTTGGCCCCCTTGGTTGACTGCTTTTGCAGGGGATGCAATACAGGGATGGGTTCCTATGGGGCCCGATAATTTTTCTAACTTGAAAAAAGTAAGGCATGATCTCTCATTTCATCTTGCATTTGCTCTCTCTCTCTCTCTC